TGTTTCCTTGTCTCTCTGTCTCTGCCTCTTCCTCTGGCTGCCTCTGCTTCCTTGTCTCTCCGTCTCTGCCTCTTCCTCTGGCTGCCTCTGTTTCCTTGTCTCTCCGTCTCTGCCTCTTCCTCTGGCTGCCTCTGCTTCCTTGTCTCTCTGTCTCTGCCTCTTCCTCTGGCTGCCTCTGCTTCCTTGTCTCTCCGTCTCTGCCTCTTCCTCTGGCTGCCTCTGCTTCCTTGTCTCTCTGTCTCTGTCTCTTCCTCTGGCTGCCTCTGTTTCCTTGTCTCTCTGTCTCTGCCTCTTCCTCTTGCTGCCTCTGTTTCCTTGTCTCTCTGTCTCTGTCTCTTCGTCTCTCTGCATTTCGCGCTGTCTCCTTTTCTGTCTCCCTGCCCCTGTGTCTCCCGCTTACGTTTCTGTCTTACCTGTCTCCTTCTGTGTCATATGCCTGCCTCTCTGTCTCTGCCCCCTCTGCTTACGTTCTGTCTCTTCTCTGGATTTATCTTTTTTCCTATTTCACCTGGGTTCCTCGGTCTTTGTGCCTCTGTCTCCCCACAACACCCCCACTCGCCCCCTCCAGGCACCATCCCTCTGTCCCCAGGACCTTCTCATGGCTCCCTCCCAGGCCCTGACTCACAAACCCTGCAGGCTGCCCTGGTCTGGCGCTGATTCCTTCCCTGGTAGCCCTGCGGGTGGGGAGCGGTGAGGAGGTGGAATGAACGAGGGGGGGTCCTCTGCTGGCCCAAGGCTGCACTCACCTGCGCTCACCTGCATTTCAGGGATCAACATTTACCAGCCAGCACCCCCTACTGGTCCGACCCAGCAGCCCCTTGAGACCCTGGGTAAGTGCTTGTGGGCTGGGCTGTGGAGGGGAGGAGGCCTCAGGATGGCGGTGGTGGGGGGTGTTCTAACCTCTGCCCCTCCACCTGCCAGGCAATTTCCGCGGTTGGTACATTAGGACTGAAAAGCTTCCGCAGAACCTGAGGTGAGTCATAGGGCCAGCATGGCCCTCCTCACTGTGAGCCCTGGAGAAACTGGCCTGGCCTCTCTGGGCTTCCATTTCCTGCTCCGTGAACAGAGCTCGTCATAAGAGCGACCGCTTGTAAGGCACACAGCATCGGGCAAGGTAGCCTGGCCGGCACGTAGCAGGTGCTCGATAAACAGCAGCAATTATTGTTACCGCTGTGGTTATTCTGAGCCTCTCCCTGGGAGGGGAAGGGTCACCCCAGGCCACCATCTGTCCTCTATGACACCAAGCCCTGCTTCTGCCCAGTGGCTGGCACGGTGCCACTCGGTGGCTGAGAGTCACACATGCCCACGGTTGGATCCTGGCTCTGCCACTTCTTTGCTGCTTGTCCTTGGGCAAGTCTCCAGCTCCAGCCTCAGTTTCCTTATCTGCAGCACGGGGTTCGGAATGTGTCGCCCTCAGAGGGGCTCGTGGGAACCGAGACGGCGAGGCGCTGAGGGAGCACCCCCTGTGAGGTGTCCCCAAGACAGCGCTTAGACCAGGGCTTCCTGTGCCCCGGAGCCAGGCCAGCCTGGGAGACCCTCAGGATCCCCACCTCTCCTGCCCCCTTCCCACAGCTGGACGGTGAAGCAACAGTGTGTGGACCTGCTGGCTGAGGGTCTGTGGGAGGAGCTGCTGGATGACGAGCAGCCGGACATCACGGTCATGGACTGGTACGCGCCCCTGCCCCTGCCCTGACTCCCAATAGAGCGGGGGCTCCCCTTGCGTGGAGCTCCTCACCTTGACCCTCCTGGTGCTGCAGGGGCCAGCTCTGCCCACTCCCAGGCCCCTCTCTCTGAGTCTTCCAGTTTGGGAAGCGGCCAGCCTCTTGCGTCTTTGGGGTTCACTGAGGCTGGTGTCTCCTCCTTGGAGGCCTGTCCCGCTCTGTTCTCAACAAATTCCTCCTTATTCTTTAGGAGTCAGTGATACATGGCTCCACCAGGAAACCTTCCCTGACCACCCCCAGCTGGGTCAGGGGCATGGCTTCAGTGCCCTTGTCTCCTGATTCTGACCCTAACCCCTCACCCGGGCCTCCCTACCCCAGTTCTGGCCGTTCCTGGCTGTCAAGGTTGGGTGCCATGTCTGGACTCTGAGTCCCATGAGGACAGGGCGTGGGACTATCTTGGACACTGCGGTGTCCTCAGCCCTGTCCGGCCCAGGGCTGTGCAGAGCGGGTGGCAGTGAGTGTGTGTTGAACGGGGAAGGGGGCAGAGGCCGGGCTGGGAGTTGAGGCCTGCCTTTGTCTCCAGGTTTGAGGACAGCCGGCTAGACGTGTGTGTTTACGAGCTGCACGTCTGGCTGTTGGCCGCCGACCGCCGCACAGTCATCGCGCAGCACCACGCGGCCCCCCGGACCTCGGGGAGAGGCCCTCCTAGCCGCTGGGTCCAGGTGAGACTCCCTGCCCGGCCCCCACAGAGGGAGGAGGGAGGAGAGCAGCTCCATGGTTCCTGATAAAGATGCCTTCCCAACCCCGATGCCACCACAGGTGTCCCACGTCTTCCGCCATTATGGCTCCGGTGTGCGCTTCATCCACTTCCTGCACAAGACCAAGAACCGCATGGAGCCTGGGGGGCAGCGGCGGACACGTGTGACGGACTCCTCCGTGTCCGTGCAGCTCAGGGAGTGACTGCCGGCCTGCGCCTGTCCTGAGGCCTTGACACCTCTCGACCCCTAAGGGGCCTCACTCTCAACGCCTCCCTGGCCCTCAGCCACCTGCTCCCCGCAGGACCTCTCTCGGCTCCCCTGATCGCTGAGCCCCTCCCGGGCCCCTTAGTCCTGCCCAGCCCGGGGCTTCTCATCTGCCGTCCTCACACGTCCTCCTGCCCTGCTCTCTGCTTCCCCACCCCCACTCTCCGAGCCCCAAGAAGGCCGGAGGGACTCCTTCCAAGTTCAGCGCCTGGCAGATAGTAGGTGCTCAGTATCTCCGTTGAATGGATGAATAAACGCCCGTGCCCGCGGATGCTGAGCGCCTTCTTGGTCTCTGCTCCTCAGAACATCACGCAGTTCCAGCCCATTTGCACCTCTCTGACCCCATCTTCCATTGCCTCTACAACCCCTGGGCCTTTTGCCTTAACCTTGACCTTGACCTCTTCACACTTTCCAGCGTGTGGCCTCCTGAGCCCCCTGAGCCCCGTTGCCTCTACAGCCCCTGGGCCTTTTGCTCGACCTTGACCTTCGTGTTCTCCTACGTGGCCTCCTGGCATCTCCACTTCCTCCACATTTCTCAACCCTCAGAATCTCTCCTTCTGCCGGCTGTTCCCAGTTGTCCAGAGCTGGCCCCAAGTCTCTCCTCTGAGGACCCGTTGTGTATCTTCTTCAGCTCTCCCAGAACCCCTAGACTCAGGTTTCCATCAGGGCCCCTCATCCGTGGGGGTGGCAGGGACACAGATGGCAACCTGATCAAAAGTATGCAAGTTTGAACTGAAGTGTCCTCCATGTGTGGGTAAGACCCTGGGCCTAGCCTGGGGCCGGGTCCTAAAAAAGGCTCCCCGCTGTCCCCTGCAGGAATCTGGAGGGGGTCTGGAGGTCCTGGGAGGCCAGAACAGCTCAGGAGAGGGGAGGGTGTTTACCAGTGTTGGAAGCATTTCGATACTCAGCAATCAGCCAGCGGTCCCATGTGTGCCATGTGGGTGGCCTAAAACTGTGTCAGAATCTAGAATGTGTTCCCATCCAAGTGTGGGCTGACCGTTCTCTCTCTCCCCTGTCCCACCCAGTCCTTGTGGGCTTGGGTCCCAGGCACAAGCAGATGGCAGACAGGGACAACTTCACAAGGGCTGTATTGCAGGGGAGGCAGGGGCACCGAGAAGCTCCTCCCCCTGGGTCTGGGGCCTACAGCAGACCCCAGGGACAGGCCAGGTGAAGGCTCAGCGCCGTGTGGAGGCTGCAGGTGAGGGACCTCCGAGAATCAGTAGCACCTGCAACAAAATAAAAAATTCCCACCAGGGGATGCCAAGGGTTTGGAGACCCAGGGTGTGTGTGGCAGCTTCTGGAAGTCTGAGGCCGGTGGGGGATGTGGAATGTGGGTCTGAGGCTCCAGGTTCAAGAACTAGGCGTCCTTACCTGTTAGAGGTTGGGACTGGGGGCGCTAGGAATGTTGGGGACACCCGGGGCAGGTTTGGGAGGGTGCCACAGCCGGACTGAGGATCCCAGGGTCTGTGAGCTTGCCCATGTGAATGCAGGTTGTGTTCAGGGGTCTCCAGGCCCGGGCCCAGGGGCTATGGGACTGGCTGAGGGGCTGAGGCTGATCCGGTGGGCCCAGGTGAGTGGGGAGCACTAATATTAGACTGAGCGTTTCCACAACTGGGTCTGGGGTTTGAGGTCTGGGTTAGACTGAGCGTTTCCACAATTGGGTCTGGGGTCTGAGGTCTGGGTTAGAACGCTCGCGAGTCCCAGAGTTGGGTCCTGGCGCTCTCAGAGCTGATGAACCGGGGGCTTCAGGCTGAGCCCCCCCGTCCGCCGAGCCAGCCTCCCTGGGAAGTGCAGCTGTGGGTGGGTGGGC